TATACTACACGTGAAAAAAAAAATTCTATTGTATATTTGAATATGCTTGGCGGAGTATTGGAGTGGAAACGCAGTATTGTCAGCATCCAAAAAGACAGATTCGCGCATGCGCTTTATAGAGCACCAATTTCATCCGATTTAGCCGGTAGAAGCCTACGAACTTGGGTTGATGCTACACATATAATGCTTCCAATTCTATCCGGGACCGGTTCTGGGCTGTTAGCCGCCCTCGCCCGATTATACGAATCACGAGTAGATTTATAACTTATCTCATTTGATTAGAATTTACTGGTATGTTTTTATGATAGTATTCTGTATAGTTGACAGAAGTTTAAAAAAATCCATTAAAATATTTGGTATTTTTATTCCGCTCTCCGATTTTATATTACTCACGGATTTCAATGTTAAAGCGGCGATATTACGATTTCGTATGTCCCATCTTTAAAGGGATGTAGAAAAAAACGTGTACAATAATGTTAAAAAATTAACCGTTACCTTGACAGCATCATTTACAACTAAATTTAATGAATGAGAGAGATGCACCAGATACAGAAAAAGCTCTAGAATTTATTTTTCTTAAATTTACGATTTATGTATCCGTTTGTCATAAAAATTTGTCTTTTCACTTTTTCCCGAGACTACAAATATTCGAGTACAAAGTAACCGGCTTCGACTTATTTCTACTTAAGTAGTAGTTAAATAATTAAGCGATTAGGGAATTGGAGACATAAACAAAACCCTGATGAAAGAGCCGAAATTTTACTTAAACAAAAGCTTAACCGAACCAATCTCTAGCCGAGTACATGGGATTGATTTCTTCGAAATAATAGATGTAATAAAGACAGACATTTTTCCAGTTCAACGAGAGTGACCGAAAAGTTGTAAATTTTTGAAATTTTCGTGGACAACGCCTGGTCCTAAAACGAATTAGTTAGAAAACAAACGATGGACAATCTATTAAGTTTAACATATTTGGACTTTTACAGCTATGGTGAGAAACGTTTAAAATTTACAAGAACCCTGTCGCGTCTTTTGAGGTATACTAGTGATGCGATAAAAGGGGCATTTGAAATTGACCGGTATCGGCACCCTCAGGATTTGGCAGCCCGCGTGCATGTATAGTATATACACCGCACACCTAGCAGGACCGTCTCTGATTCCACTCGTAGGGAGCTATTTGACTAAGTGGTTAAGATTTAAAGAGTAAAGAATATTTTGTTATTTTTATGTACGTTTCTTCACAAAACTATATTTAATTATAGTTTTCTTTAAAAGTATATTCATGCAATTGAGGAATATTTTGTACCAGGTATGTATATCCACCACACATTTTATTTCACCGAGTAAGTTTTTATAATTTTATTTTTAATTTTAGCCCTTATATCGTGGCTAGCGATTCGGAATGTAATTGCGATATTGAAAATTTATTTTAAAAAAGTTNAAAAAAAAAAAAAAAAAAAAAAAAAAAAAAAAAAAAAAAAAAAAAAAAAAAAAAAAAAAAAAAAAAAAAAAAAAAAAAAAAAAAAAAAAAAAAAAAAAAAAAAAAAAAAAAAAAAAAAAAAAAAAAAAAAAAAAAAAAAAAAAAAAAAAAAAAAAAAAAAAAAAAAAAAAAAAAAAAAAAAAAAAAAAAAAAAAAAAAAAAAAAAAAAAAAAAAAAAAAAAAAAAAAAAAAAAAAAAAAAAAAAAAAAAAAAAAAAAAAAAAAAAAAAAAAAAAAAAAAAAAAAAAAAAAAAAAAAAAAAAAAAAAAAAAAAAAAAAAAAAAAAAAAAAAAAAAAAAAAAAAAAAAAAAAAAAAAAAAAAAAAAAAAAAAAAAAAAAAAAAAAAAAAAAAAAAAAAAAAAAAAAAAAAAAAAAAAAAAAAAAAAAAAAAAAAAAAAAAAAAAAAAAAAAAAAAAAAAAAAAAAAAAAAAAAAAAAAAAAAAAAAAAAAAAAAAAAAAAAAAAAAAAAAAAAAAAAAAAAAAAAAAAAAAAAAAAAAAAAAAAAAAAAAAAAAAAAAAAAAAAAAAAAAAAAAAAAAAAAAAAAAAAAAAAAAAAAAAAAAAAAAAAAAAAAAAAAAAAAAAAAAAAAAAAAAAAAAAAAAAAAAAAAAAAAAAAAAAAAAAAAAAAAAAAAAAAAAAAAAAAAAAAAAAAAAAAAAAAAAAAAAAAAAAAAAAAAAAAAAAAAAAAAAAAAAAAAAAAAAAAAAAAAAAAAAAAAAAAAAAAAAAAAAAAAAAAAAAAAAAAAAAAAAAAAAAAAAAAAAAAAAAAAAAAAAAAAAAAAAAAAAAAAAAAAAAAAAAAAAAAAAAAAAAAAAAAAAAAAAAAAAAAAAAAAAAAAAAAAAAAAAAAAAAAAAAAAAAAAAAAAAAAAAAAAAAAAAAAAAAAAAAAAAAAAAAAAAAAAAAAAAAAAAAAAAAAAAAAAAAAAAAAAAAAAAAAAAAAAAAAAAAAAAAAAAAAAAAAAAAAAAAAAAAAAAAAAAAAAAAAAAAAAAAAAAAAAAAAAAAAAAAAAAAAAAAAAAAAAAAAAAAAAAAAAAAAAAAAAAAAAAAAAAAAAAAAAAAAAAAAAAAAAAAAAAAAAAAAAAAAAAAAAAAAAAAAAAAAAAAAAAAAAAAAAAAAAAAAAAAAAAAAAAAAAAAAAAAAAAAAAAAAAAAAAAAAAAAAAAAAAAAAAAAAAAAAAAAAAAAAAAAAAAAAAAAAAAAAAAAAAAAAAAAAAAAAAAAAAAAAAAAAAAAAAAAAAAAAAAAAAAAAAAAAAAAAAAAAAAAAAAAAAAAAAAAAAAAAAAAAAAAAAAAAAAAAAGACATATATTCGTAACCAGCGCAAAAACTGTGCAAGAAGTAATTATCTCAGTTTTTGACCGATGTATATAGTCTAAAGTCAACACAGGTTTTCACAAAGTACAAGGGTATCTCCTTATTACAAACAAAGCAAAATATAATGGCGGCGCGCCGGCCTCGTACACCCTGGCACGATTACAACGCCGATTTATATTTATTCTTTAACAAATTGAAACGTTTAAAAATTATTTATATTTTCAATATTACGTATTAATTTAAATTTATAATCGATTATTATTTTATAAAATCGATTTTTGTTACATAAATTATTTGTTTTGTAAAATGACACCAGGTGGAAAATGATGCAATGTAGAAGAATGAGTCGTAGCGATGTTGTGTTGTACGGAAAACTTTTCTTTGACCGTGTTAACGAAGGTGTAGTCAAATGAAAATTAGTAGGCGTGTAAAAATCTTACAGAATGAAAGAGGTAGTTGTAGATTACAGTAATAAACTGATTATGGCTCCTATGGTTCGCATAGGAACCCTTCCCACGCGGCTCCTAGCGCTTGAGTATGGAGCTGATTTAGTTTATAGCGAAGAGTTGATCGATTATCGGATGCTTAGATGTAAAAGAATAGAAAATGCTATATTGGATACTGTTGATTTTGTAGACGAAGATCAAAATGTGGTTTTCAGGACATGTAAAAAGGAAAGGGAAAGAATTATACTGCAGATTGGTACTTGTGATCCAGAAAGATGTCTCCGTGTGGCCAAAATGGTTGAAAAAGATGTTGCTGGCATAGATATTAACATGGGATGTCCAAAAGAATTTTCCCTGAAAGGTGGAATGGGAGCCGCTCTGTTAACTCAACCGGAGAAGATAAACCAGATTTTGACTACTCTGGTGAAAGAGCTGTCGTGTCCGATAACCTGTAAGATCAGAGTTTTAGATACCGTGGAAGACACCGTCGAATTGGCCAAACTGATAGAAAGTACGGGAGTGTCCGCTTTGGCCGTTCACGGCAGGACGAAAGAAGAACGTCCCCAGCACCGCAATCGAAATCACTTTATCAAAGCCGTCGTCCGGTCCGTTGACGTCCCCGTGATAGCCAACGGCGGTTCGGGCGAAATTACTTGTTACGAAGACGTCGAGAGATTTAGAACGGAGACCGGGGCGAGTTCGGTCATGCTCGCCCGCCAGGTGGAAAAAAATTGTTCTATATTCCGTAAAGACGGTCTGTTACCGTTGGATGTTGTTATTAGGTCGTATTTAAAATTTGCAATAGATTATAATAATAATACGACAAACACGAAATATTGTATTCAGCAAATGTTAGGTTCTCTTCAGGATACGCCGTGCGGCAGAGCGTTATTGAATGCTCAACTTATGAAAGATATCTGTGATCTCTGGAATATGGGTGATTATTACGTTAAAAAACAGGACGACTTTAAAACAATTTCGATGAATTTGAAAAGACTACATGCGGATTGTAACTTTGGCTTGCATCTCAAGAGACGTAAATTAGAAAATAACGAAATTTGGGAAACCGATGCAAAATTCATTAAAAGTGTCTTTGGAAAGGCCGACTTACCGAAAACTGTTTTGTGTAATTGGACCAGAAAAAATAATATTAAACAACCAAATTATCAAACGTTTCAAATAGAGAAAAGTTTTAAATCCATTGTTACTGTCAATAATAAAATGTATTCTAGCAGTTGTTTGGAGAAAAATAAGAGAATGGCTGAACAAGGTGCTGCATTAGTTGCACTCATTGGACTAGAAATCATTAATAATGAGCAAATAAAATTATTATTAAATTCTTGAATAGATTTTATTAAAATTAGTTTTTCATCATTCAGACTGATGAAGATATACAGTACATAAAATGTTTTGTAATATGGCTTTGGCATTATGAATTTGATATTTTGCATCTATTATATAAATGTATAATAGTTTTGATTGTTATATGAAATATAAATATGCTTACAGTTAAGTATAATTTGTGTAAATTCATTTATATAAATTATTCTAATTATAATAAATAGCTTTACATTTTGAAATTAAAAGCAATTTATATTTTAAAATAGTGAATTTAAATCAAAATTGTAATTTTATTGAATAATTTGCACTTTTAACAGTGGGTGAAGTTTAAGGAATTCTAATATTTCAACCCAGTTAATGGTCTATCTTAAAGCACAGACAGTTGAAATTGGAATAAATTCCACTTTCAACTGTGCTTGAAGATGGCCCATTAACTGGGTTGAAGTGTTGGCATTCCTTAAACTTTACCCACTGTTAAAGGTGCATTGATTAATTCAGCAAAGGAATTATAATGGCTAGTTAATCCTTATTGCCATTTTATTGTGTTATGTATGTATATATACCTGTAGTATAATTATATAAATTGCATATTGATCAAAAATTTAAAAGATTTAATCATGATATAAATTTCTTTAAAATTTTCCCATATAATTTTAAAACAATTTATAGTTCACATATCTAAGTTTTTAACATTATAAACATTATAATGTTGATAGAATATTTGAATATTTTATGACAACAATCAGATTATATTTGTGTAATATGAGAGATCATATTGGTTTAAATTTGAACTTGAGAACATTGAATTTGTTTTTCTAATGTAATTCAAGTTTGTTTTCAGAAACAATTTATGGAACATATTTATTTGCATATGTATGATGTAAAATCAATACTTACATTGGTAGGGAATAAAGTTTTGTTTTTTCTGAACAGAACAGTCCTTTCTTAAGATAATCCTTGTTAAAATTGTGGTGCATGAAGCAAATTCATTAGTTATCTAAGTATATTTTATCCAAAAACATCTTGTTATCAATATATAATGATTAATGTTGCAATATATATGCTATTATTTCATATAAAGTAATATTTCTTAAAAATTATATAAACAAACTTATTTGAAAACATTTTTAAATGCTCTTAACTATTTCTAATTTGTCTTATTGGATGACTATGCTATCAGATATGTTTTTGCAGCATAATCTTTATAAACAATCCAGTTATGAAATGGATATATTTACATGTCAACTTAACATCAATTTATTTTTGTATATGTAAATAATATAATGAAGTATAAACTCAAAATCATACCAAATTTATATTTTTCATTTCATTTCCAAACTTGAGCATTTTAATAATGTATACAAATTCAGAATTTTAAAGAATTCTTGTTTCTTTGATTCTGAAAAATCATTAAATATTCTGAAAATATGGTGTGATTCAAAAGGTCAGACAAACTAAAGGTAAGTTGGGAATACAAAAACATTTTTTTTACCTAGGAACACAAACACCACCCAGAGTTGATAGAAGTACAAGAAAAATAACATAGAAAGGGATACACAAAGTATACATATTAGAACACAGGAACATACGGCTGCAAGTGCCAGCAATGTAATAATGGCTACCTTTAAAGCTTGTCTAAGACCTTTTGAATCACCCTGTAAATGAAAATTAGTTTTAACTCCTAAATTTCATGTTCCTTCTAATAATACTTTCAATATTAATGAAAAGATAACAGAAAATGAACTTTTAATATTAAATAACTTTTTAATCTAAAACATTAATAAAATATTATGTAACTAATGTCACACGTTCTTCAAAAAAAGACTGCATTCTTTTTATACATAACTGAAGTGTTTTTTGAAGATCATGTTGCATAATATGTACACCTTTTGTGGATAATACTAATATTTCTTTAATGCCATCTCCTATAATATCCACATATGCAATAGATAATATTGGATAAGGGAAAGAGTGATTCCATTGAAAGACATATTCCGAATTAATCCATTTATAACAAAGTAGTTCTTGTCCGTACGTACCGATAAGAATTTCATTGTTTCCATCCATATCTACATCCGCAACACAAACCGTGGTCACACAATCAAAGCAATCACTATTGGGTAAAGGAAACTGACGATCGAGACCGTCGGCGAGTACGTCTTTATAAACAACAGATAATTCTAACGTGCCACCCACCGCAAGGTGAACGCCGGGAAGAACTCGGTCCGCTTCGGAGGTTTCTTCCCTTCTCAAAAAGGTCGGCAATTTTACGTCCGTCTCGTCCGTAAACAGACGTACCACGGATACGGGAAGATCGTGTTTGACGACGTAAGACGATTCCAGTTTCGCATAATCCGAAATAAGAGCGACCACGTTAACGCCGACCAAACCTTCCTGAGTTCCGTACGCCGAAACTCTTCTATTTTGCAGATGCACGAAATCCATCCATTGCACGATGCCGGACAAATTATCAAATTCGGGAAAGAGATTCGGAGGCTCTTCGCAGAAACACTGGTGCGACTTATCCTCTTTATATACGTGAACTTTGCAATCTCCGCCGCTCAGAAGCCACACAATTTCTTCATTATTTTCTGTTATAACTTTAACATGCGTAAGATGATAGGGAATAAAATTGAGTGTCAAACTAAAGCACCCCTGAGCAATGTTATCTAAATTGCATTCGGTAACCGGTTGCCATTCGGAATATATATTGAAGAAAGTGCTGACGGGTGCAGAAGAATCGAATTGTTCTCCTAACTTGACGAAAGTGATTCCTACTAAGAAATCGTGATTCTCAGTCGATTTATTGAACGCATCGATAGAAATTATTTCTGCTCCTCCCGGAATATACGTAAACTGTACTTCTGTGGTAGAAGGGATTGTAGACACTTCGTTTTTCGTATATTCTATGCAATATACTTTTCTTTTTCGAGATGCAATTAATACTTTACTTAATCCGTCCGAAGTAGTTAGAGTCGTTAATCCGTAAATATTGCTTTGGGACGTTAATCCGGAAAAATGAAATTCGTTCATATTTACATTCGGTGATATCGAACACACACAAACTCCTCCATCGACGGCTTACTACAGCGCCAACAAACGTCATTTATGAAACTTCGGTCAGAAAAAGTATCAAACACAAAATTTAATTTTATAATTTTATATTTATTATTATAACATTGCGATAATTAATATATGCCAAAAATATTATTTCTTTTTTAAAACTCTTTCCGCTGTGAACACTAAGAGGGCCTCTTTGTAGCAAGCCCATTATGGGTTCGGCCAGGCCCACAATGAGGCCTCCGGAGCCCGACATATCCGGACGGACCACTCCCCGAAAAATTCTTGGGGATTTTTCGACCCGTGCGGATTCGATCCCGGATCTCCCAGAGCGGTAGGCTGCCATTTTGAACGCTCGGCCATCCGGCCGTCAACTACGCTGCTATTTTCCCAAATTATCACGAGCTTTTGGAGACAAAAAAGCGATGCTATCCGGACAAAATTGAAATCGCCGAATTCCCTGAAGAAATAGAATTGCAGTCACTGCTTGACCATACTATACGACGCTTAGTGTTGGTACAGTACAGTCGGAAGTGTTACAACAGGCGCCTGTAGGCATAGACATTCTTCCAACGTTTGTACCACAAAAAAATGGAAAAAAAAAACCGGCCGGATATTGAGGGATCAGGTAAAGATTATATAAACACTTACATTTAAAACCGTTTGACAAAGCGGAGCGGTTCCGTTCAGGTTTGGTTTTAATTTTATTCGTATACGGCAACGCGACACATGGGCGATCTGCCGAGGGAAATTCCCGGGAGGTCTTTTATGGAAAACTGGACCTCATTTAGGTATTACAAACGTGAAGAAAATGTGAAAAACTCCACGTGGCCAAGTGGGAACCCAAGACCAACTATCAGCGTTCGGTAGTTTTATCCACTCGTTACTGGTGGGTGTCGGTTCCGTTCAGACAGGTACCGGTACAGACAAGGTGCTTTCGACATTCTTCGCTAGAACGTTGTCTGAAACGATACGTGCCCGAGGTTCTGAACCTGTTGGAACAAACACGAACGGAGACGGCTGGATAGTCTGAATCACACTCGGACTTTTGAGTAGCAATCTCATCTGAGACGCGACAGTATTATAAAATGATGAAATAAGTAATGAATTCCGAAAGTCTTTCTTGAGCGAAGTTTTTATTTTTCCCATTAGAACACTGAAATCATACTCACACATTCTAAAATACAGGAAAAACTTTTCTTCGGAGAAAATTTCGTTTTCTCTGAAAAAGGTTCGATATTCTATGTGCATTTTTTCTTTAACATTTTATGACTACCATAACAGATGACGTTTCTCTTTATCACCTTCATCCAATAGTAACACTATTATTGTCCTACTCAAAAAGCGCCTTTCCATTTTTGGTCTTTTCCTTGTTAGTCTATATTGTAAATTCTCTGTCGGAATTACCGCATTACGTAGAAAATAATTCTAATTGAAAAATATGTCTTCACATTTCGTCCTTAACACACCTGGGAAACAGTTGTGCGTTATTCCTTGGGCAAAAAGGACAATTGCCTGGGGTCTCAAACCAATGTTATATATATTAAAAAAAATATTTTCCTCAAAACACTTTTTTTTTCGCCCCTTTAGACGAATCACACGACGTCATTTTTACTTTCCTGGCTGTTAACAGAGGGAAAGTATGGCGAAAGGTCGAGGAAGATAAAGGAGGTCGTGTGTATCTCCAGTAGGGTCAGACTTAACGATTTTACTTGTTAGCATTTACAATGTGTTTTATATATATATATATATATATATATATATACCCACACATAATGCCTGACCCCATATGTCACTCCAAACTAATGAAACTATTGAAGATCTGAAGTTTGAGTGTCTCCCACTCCCCATACTCATTTGACCTGTTTNTATACAGTGAGTGATCGGTTAACGAACAGATCGGATAACGAACACTTTCGCGAAAGATTTTTTATGATCGGACAACGAACATATGATCGGATAACGAACAAACACAAGAAGAAGCGACGTAAAATAATGAATACCGATTGGTCTTCATTGTCTTCGGGCAACAATTCGAAACTTTTCGGAGTGTGGGAGACGTCGAAATCGATGCTCAAGCCGGTATATACCGATCGGATAGCATTTCTCTGAAGTTTGAAACTCTCCCTTGTAATTCCAGCCTTTTATTTTTCTGACAAAACAATTCGCGTAGAATTCGCGATGTATTCGCGAGACTTGGGGTTGGCACTCGTTAAGTTTTGCGTCTGTTTTTCTTTTCGAAAGATGAGTATAATAGCAAAGGTAGAGAGTGGGCAGAAGATACCTAATGTTGCTGGGCAGTTTGGCGTGAACAGGTCTACAGTAGGCCGCAGTTCAAACTTGTTTAAGAAAAATACTGTATAATCAAGAAGACTCAAGCAGCTAAAGGAGTAACAAAAATCTCATCTGAGAAATAAAGAACATCGAAGAGTTCATAATGGAAACGGAAACGGATCTGACGACAGAAGAACGCCAAGAACTCTTGAATGAAGAACACCAAGGAACTCGGCGAGATATGCTTTCTTCTGAAAAAGAGGAT